CAGCCTGGAAATGGTTTTTGGGAGTTGTAGTCCAAAATAGCCAGGAAGCCAAGGGTTCACTATTCTTGCCTAAAAGTATCTACACTACACAATTATACTATTTTGAAACCAGTTTAACTATCATGATGTCATTTTAGGCAATCTTGAGATTTGTTGTCTGGTGAGGTGCTTAGGTTTCTCTGCTAAAGAATTCTAGCTCATTTTTCTGAATTATTGCTACTCAAGAGAATTCTAAATGCTGATATCAATAGGAGTCTAATGCCTAGATCAAGGGATGTCATGCTTCCCCTCTATTCTGCCTTGGTTAGACCACACCTGGAATACTGTGTCCAATTGTGGGCACCACAACTGAAGAGAGATATTGACAAGCTGGAATGTGTCCAGAGGAGGGCAACTAAAATGATCAATGGTATGGAGAACAAGCCCTATGAGCAGAGGCGGCCCTAGGTAATTTTCAATGGTAAGCAAAGAGTATTTTGCAGCCCCCCCCCCAAAACCAATCACTGATATATATATATATATATATATATATATATGGCATGGACAAATTTTGGCCCTCCAGATATTTTGGACTTCCTACTGGCTGTTTGAAGTTGTGGGAGTTGAAGTCCAAAACACATGGAGGGCCAAAGTTGGCCTATGTCATCCATATATATCTGGTGATCTTGAAAAGAAAGTAATGAGAAAATTGGTTTCTAATATATGAAATTTCTTGATGCATGTGAGTAAACAGTATTTCTTGTTGCTTCTTTGTCAGTGTTGATGTAGCGATTGTCTGGTTTGCCTCCTCTTGAACATAAAACATATCATTGTCCTTCTTCAGGGATCCTTTTCAAATCTATGGTATTATATATCTTCCATATGTGTGTGTGTGTGTGTGTGAATCGTATAGATCTATCTCTATCTATGGCTGGATGGCTGTTTGTCAGGAGGGCTTTGATTATGTTTTCTTGCTCTGGTGAAGGGAGTTGGTCTGGATGGCCATAAGGCAGCATTTCTTAACCTGGGAGTCGGGACCCCTGGGGGGATCATGAGGGGGTGTCAGAAGGGTCGCCAAAGACCACAGGAAAACAGTGTTCAATGTGGGAAGTTTGGCACAATTCTTTCGTTGGTGGGTTTCAGAATGTTCTTTGATTGTAACTATAAATCCCAGTAACTACAACTCCCAAATGTCAAGGTCTATTTTCCCAAACTCCATCTGTGTTCATATTTGGGCACATGGAGCATTTGTGCCAAGTTTGGTCTAAATCCTTGTTTGAGTCCACAGTGCTCTCTGGGTGTAGGTGAATTACAGCTCCAAAACACAAGGTCAATGCCCACCAAACCCTTCCAGTATATTCTGTTCACTGTGAGTTCTGTGTGCCATATTTGGTTCAATTCCATTATTGGTGCAGTTCAGAATATTCTTTGATTGTAGGTGAACTATACATCCCAGTAACTACAACTCACATATGTCAAGGTCTATTTTCCCCCAAACTCCACCAGTGTTTACATTTGGGCACACTTCCTAACGCCGGGAGAGGGACGCACACACGCCGGCGTTGAGTCCTTTGGCCTACGAGCGTGAGGAGGAGGAGGAGAGGAAGACAACGCGTGCACACACACACGCACTTGTGAGGGAAGGAGAGCTAGCTGCCTCAGTGTTGTTTGGGGCAGGGGCGACTCAAGAGCTCCTCAAGAGCACCCCAACGAGACGCGCGCTCTACGCAAAAGCGTAATTTGTGTACTGTCTTGGGCTGCCTCTGCCTATGAGGAACAGCTTAAAGAGCTGGGCATGTTTAGCCTGAAGAAGAGAAGGCTGAGAGGAGGCATGATGAGGGCCATGGATAATATGTGAGAGTAAGTCATAGGGAAGATGGAGCAAGATTGTTTTCTACTGCCCTGGAGACTAGGACGTGGAACAATGGCTTCAAACTACAAGAAAGGAGATGCCATCTGAACATTAGGAAGAATTTCCTGACTGTGAGACCTGTTCAGCAGTGGAACTCTCTGCTCTGAACTGTGGTGGGGGCTCCATCTTTGGCGTCTTTTAAACAGAGGCTGGATGGCCATTTGTCGGGGGTGCTTTGAATGCAATATTCCTGCTTCTTGACAGGGGGTTGGACTGGATGGCCCAGGAGGTCTTTTCCAACTCTATGATTCTGTGATTCTATATCTGGTGGCATAATCGGAGAGGTGAATCTATTAAAGTCTGAACCAAATTCCTCTCAAAATATGTTTATTAGTTTTTATTTTGTGATAAAGACCAGAAGTCTCTAGATGTCACATAGACATCCAGGAACGATTTCTCAGTTACTGTGGGCCATTGATCCCATGGGGATAAGCCCCCAGTTTCTCTGCCCTCTTTCTCTTTTTCTTCTTTGTTTTCATCCTATGGCAATTGCCACACACTTAATTCAAAGTGCAAAAGTATTTTGTGCTCTATGAAATCACTGGGGAGAGGGAAGGCAGCAGAATGTTGTCCTTTATCGTAGGCTCAGCAAAGTTTGAGTGTTTTTCTCCATTAACTTCTGTCCACTTGATGACACTCTGAAGCTGCTTGGTTGCACGTGCCCAAGTTTCGTTTCTGATATGTTAGAGTATATATGTTTTGGCAGCCTTCTTGCTTTGGCCACACATCCGTTGTTACAAGCACTCGCCCTATGTACAAGCAGGGAACTCCCTATTAATTTGGTATTCCACTTTGATCGATGTGTGTTATGTTAACCTTGGATGTTCTAATTTTATGTTATTTGGTGTTTTGTTGATTTGGTTTATTCTTGGGTACATTTTATGTTTTTTACTCTGTACTATGTGCCTTGTAAGCCATCCCGAGTCCTCTTGGGCAGATGGAGCAGGATACAAATAAAGCTATTATTATTATTATTATTATTATTATTATTATTATTATTATTATTATTAATGCCTTTATTTTCCAAAAAGACACAAGAAGCATTTTTTTGCATGGTATTGGACAGATACAGCATTGTAACTATGGAGAGGAAAGTTATCTCCCAATCATAATTCTGTGTCCCAGTGAATTTTCTAGCACTAGAGAAATAAAACCAGGGCCATGGTAGTACAGCAGGCTAAACCGCTAAGCTGCAAAACTTGTTGACCAGAAGATCAGTGGTTAGAATCTACAGATACGGTGAGCTCCCATTGTTAGGCCCATCTTCTGCCAACCTAGCAGTTGAAAAACATGCAAATGTGAATAGATAAATAGGTACCGCTTGGCAGGAAGGTATCAGTGCTCAATGCAGTCATGCTGGCCACATGCCCTTGGAGGTGTCTACAGACAACGCCGGCTCTTTGGCTTAGAAATAGAGATGAGTACCTCCCCTAGAGCCAGACTCGACTAGACTTAATGTCAAGGGGAAACCTTTACCTTTATTAGAGAAATAAAGCTTAGGCATCCCAAAATAGAGCACACTAATGTACATTATAGGCTCTGTTTTGAATTTAGTGAAGAGAAGACTGAGGAGATATTATATCCATCTTTAAATATCTGAAAGATGATTTGTCAAAGATGGGATAAGATTGTTTTCTGTTGTTTGGAAGAGTTTCTTAACTTTTTCCTGACTATGCCCCGCTTCCTGTGAATTTGAATGCAGGCAACACTGAAGTGATCCTGGCCAGTCAAAAGGCAAATCAAGGAACTCCCATTGAAAAGAAAATCTGTGGTTTATGTTTGCTCCTGGAGATTTGTAAACAAAAGGAAAAAAAAGGTGGAGGGGGAAGCCAACCTTAATTGTAAGATTATTCACACGGCCATCTTGATACAAGTTAATGGTGGTAAATATTGCTCATTGTGTCTTACAACTGTTGGCGTTCCAGCTACAAGAATTCATCATCACAGACATTCATGCAAGGGCCACCAATGGAATTTATCTGTTATAGTAAGACTCTTGTAACATATACTAACATCTTGAGGAAACTGGTCCCTCTTAGCATCGGACATGGAAAGAGTCTCCTCGAAGACTGAGTAAATACAATCGGGTGTCCCCTGGGCAAGGTTTCTTGTAAATGGCAACCTTTCCAACCCAAAAACATTGCTTTACTTTATGCAGTGCTTTTGATGCAAAATAAATAAAGCATTTTCTAGATTCTCCAGGTGAGTCTATGGTACGCTTTCCCTTGAACTGATGATATTGGAAGGCCTAGCACATTTCTAGAGTGAATACATCTAACGGAATATCTTGGATTCCCAACACAATGTGAGGATATGTTGTGACTGGAAGTAATTTAATAACGTTTGGTCATATCAAACTCTAGAGCATCTTCTAATTTAAATACACACAGTCTAAATAAATCTAGGTTCTTGTAGGTTTTTTTGGGCTATAGGGCCATGTTCTAGAGGCATTTCTCCTGATGTTCGCTTGCATCTATGGCAAGCATCCTCAGAGGTAGTGAGGTCTGTTGGAATTAGGAAATGGGTTTATATATCTGTGGAATGACTGGGGTACCCCAGCCATTCCACAGATAATTATAAACCCATTTTCCTATTTCCAACAGACCTCACTACCTCTGAGGATGCTTGCCATAGATGCAGGCGAAACGTCAGGAGAAATGCCTCTAGAACATGGCCCTATAGCCCGAAAAAACCTACAAGAACCAAGTGATTCCAGCCATGAAAGCCTTCGACAATACAGTCTAAAAGTCATTTTTACATAACATGTTGATAGTTTTATTCATGTAATAAAGTTTGTGTGTGTTGATCTATCCAGAAATTAAAGGTGTCACCATCTTAGCCACCTAAGTGGATTATTTTTGATTTTGGAATTCCCAACCTATGATATGCAATGTTAAACAGCATGAATACACTTCGGTAGCATGGCAACCCCTTTTGAGACGTTTAAAGGTTTGGTTATAATGGTAACTGCATAGTATAAATTCAGTTTTTCAAAAAACCCTGTTGGGTTGTGTATATGTTTGTGTGAATATTGACCAAGCCTTAACAATTCTGATTGAATGACAATGAGATTCTTTTCTGAGTCCCTCTGAAATAAGGCACGCAAAAATTTCACTGCAAGTTTATTTGCATTCAGAAAGGAGCAAGAGGAAAGGAAAGTTTGCCAAGTTTCTGATCAGTAGCAAAAGATTTTTTGAAGCTGATTCCAATGGTTGTGAAAGAAAGGATGAAGCATTTGCAAGCCGTTCTGCTGGTCACGTTCCACAAGATCTCAAAGGATGTAGCTTCTGGGACTTTCAATTTTTGGTAGGATCATGCCATCACTTTCCAATGTTTCTGCAGGAAAACAATGAAACAAGTTTTCATTTCCACTCAAAGGGATATAAGCAGACATTGCGGTATACAGCACATCATAAACATCTGAGGTTAGAGTGCAGCGGCGTGTCTAAGGGATTCAGTTTGAATTGCCCTTTTCATCCATTGGATTTTTTCTCCCTGCGGATCATGTTAGATGTTCTCCCATGTCTTTCATTTTTTCCCCTAATGATGCCATGACTAATGCTGACAATCAATATAAGTGGCATTGTCAATATTGGCTAAATAATGTGGTTTAAAGCCTGAGCCAATGATGTTACATCATTAGATGAAGCAATCTCATACACCGTGGAGGAAAACTGGATAGAGAATGATGCCCTTTCAGATCAATCTTTCCACTTATTTTCCTTTGGCCTCAGGTAATAGGGGAAGGAAAGCCTTCCTTTTACATTACCAAGCAATCTTTTCTTTTCTAGTGAAGCATGTCTTATCACGACATGTTCAAGTCTGACTTTCTCATTTTAGTGATCTTGGCTTCTAGGGAGAGTTGAGGTCTGATTCGCTCCCTCCCAACTCTACAATGATATGGTTTTGTTATTCTGAACCAATAATAATAACAATAATAAAGGTGGCCCCAGTGGTGATGGACACACTGGGTGCAGAGCCTAAAGACCTTGGCCTGCACTTAAACACAATTGGCGCTGACAAAATTACTATCTGTCAGCTGCAAAAGGCCACCCTACTCAGATCTGCACATTATTTTCCAATACATCACACAGTCATAAATACTTGGGAAGTGTCCGACGTGTGATCCAATACAACAGCCAGCAGAGTGACCTTGCTTGCTGTGTACTAATCTTTTTGTGTTTCAAATAGCAACAACAACAACAACAACAATAAACATGGACAAAATCACAATCTGTCAACTGCAAAAGGCCACCTTACTTGGATCTGCGCGCATCATTCGAAAATACACCACACAGTCCTAGACGCTTGGGAAGTGTTCGACTTGTGATTTTGTGATACGAAATCCAGCATATAGATCTCGTTTGCTGTGACATACTGTGCTTTTGTGTCAGAATAATAATAATAATAATAATAATAATAATAATAATAATAATAATAATTTATATTCTGCCCTATCTCCCCAAGGGGACTCAGGGCGGATCACAGTACACATACATGGCAAACATTCAATGCCATTTTGGATAGACAGGACAGAGACAGACAGAACAGAAAGGAGGTATGTTGTGTCGACATCCAGCTTTTTGATGCCTTGAAGGTTGTGCTTGAATCCAGCCACAGGGGGGTGCTGTTGCTCCATCCTCTTTTCCAAAGAGCCATCAGGATTTCCTCCTTTCTTTTGGTCGCTGGGCATGTTCTGATTTTTTCTTTATGGTGTTGTAAAATACCTCTCCCACTTTTTTTTAGTGGTACCTAATTTCTCTACTTACAGCTCAAGTTGCTTTCGAACTGCTTAGGTAAACAGTACGCTGGGCTGACAGTCGGGTGCTCATGCTGACCTAGAGCTTCGAACGGGAAACCTTTCGGTTGCTAGATCTTATCATTCCTGGTGATTTACCAGCTCTGTTAAAGCCCAGGACCTATCTATCTATCTGGAATGCTCCCATATGTGATTTTGCATCTATTTTGATATTTTGCATTAGGTTTTCCCCACCCTCCAGAATCTGATTATTCTGAGGTTCATGAGGATTGGTCAAGAATTGATACAGGTCGCAGAGTGTCTGCTTACCCTTTGCAGCATTTCTGTGACAAACTGCATTTCCCAATGGTGACAGTGCCACGAGGACAGAAGAAGGAGTAGCAGCCACCCCTAGCAASTCTACAATCTGCATAGGTTTTGATCCCTGCCTCGGCAACTCCTGTGGAAAGAAATGACCAAGTAAATGATACAAAAAAGATGGAAATGCACAAAGAAAATGCAATTGCAAGGMTTTTATRCCCCCCCCCCCCCCAATGCTAACTGAATATTTATTGAGTCAAGTCTACCTTGAGATTTTAAGGTTTGGTGTATAAAATTTGGGGATAGTRGGAGGATGACTAAACATAAAAAGAGACATCTGCTTTGTTAACTTAGCAACATAATATGTTTAGTCAAGGAAACAGATTACAAGGGTTTTGGAGGGATATTTTTGAAATTTTGAGGGTGTTTAAATAGAAAGAGGAACATTCATTTTGACAAATTGGTGAAGCATTAAATTAAGTGTATTTTTGTGAGGTTATTTATTTCTCTTACTTTTTTTATTTGTTTAAACTTTTTTTTAAAAAAACCCATACTATTATGATATGATGTTTAGCTAATACAGGAAAATAATATAGTATATGAATGCACATGGCCATTAAATTGCTTTATGTGCAGAAATGAAAAGATGAAAATTACATAAATTGATGACTGATTTGTCAAAGTAAGGAAACATTATGTGGTGGAAATTATCATAACTTAGAATTTAAAGAATAGTGTTCTTGAATAATACATAAAAGTTCATTTTTATGTCATGTCAGGAGCGACTTGCCCAGGGGATGCCTGGATGATTTGATGTTTTTATCATCTTTGTGGGAGGCTTCTCTCATTTCCCCACATGAGGAGCTGGAGCTGATAGAGGGAGCTCATCCGCCTCTCCCCGGATTTGAACCTGAGACCTGTCGGTCGGTCTTCAGTCCTGCCGGCACACGGGTTTAACCCACTGCACCACCGGGGGCACCTAGTAGTGGTTTTGCTAAATATAAGGCCTCCCCCGAAAGTAAGACCTAGCTCCCCCTGGTGGCCGGAAGCTGCAATACTGTCTTTGCTGTACAAGTGGTCCAGGAACTGCTGTGGGAAATGTTTACGGTCTCCAGACAGTGTGTGGGAGCCAGGGACTTTACAGCCCTTATTTTTTGTGGCCCTGTGTGTGTATCAGGCAACCAGTGTGACCAGACAACTACTGTACATTATATAATAACTGTTTATTTTTTTGTTCAACAATAAATGTGAAATCTTCTTCATGGAAAAATAAGACATCCCTGGAAAATAAGACCTAGCGCAACTTTGGGAGCAAAAATTAATATAAGACACTGTCTTATTTTCAAGGAAACAGGGTAGTAGTAATCTTTTGTGGGTAGTCAGCTTCTCCTCTCCTGACATTCCATTGCCTCAGCACTATAAGAGGGTTTTGCAAGCCCAGTCGCTCTTGTTGCAACGATGTGGTACGAAACTCACCATGCTACCAGATTCAATGCGGATTTTAATGTTGAGGCAAATGATTTTAATGAATTTAATGTTTATGTAGTCAAACGGGCTGCAACCAGATTAATCACCAGAGCACCATACAGGGAGCATACCTCCCCCCTGTTATGCCAGCTCTGTCAGCGATAGCGGAAGTTTTGCACAAGCTTGGGAGAAAACATGGACTCTGGAGACGTCTGGTTACAAACCAGGTTCCATTTACTTAGAGCAGTTCCAGAACACATCCATTACAGTAAGCGACCAGACATGAAGTACACAGTATGCAGGACAAAGGAAGTAGAAGTGTAAACAATTCTACAGCTGCTTGGCAGATACCAGACACTCCCTAATTTTCTCACAACTCCACACAAAGAGTTTCTCAGGGTTACTTTCTCACAGCCTCTAACATAAACATACATCATAGCAATACAATCTTGTGGCATCCATATTTCTACTGCATGAAATTACATTTAAAGCACATTATATACATCAACATACACTGAGAAGCTCCACTGGCTGCCAGCCCAGTTCCAAGCACAATTCAAAGAGCTGGTCTTGGCCTATAAATCCCTATATGGTTCTGGCCCAGCTTATTTGTCCGAACGTATCTCCCTCTACGATGCACCTTGGATTCTAAGATCGTCTAGGGAGGCCCTGCTCTCGATCCTGCCTCCTTTGCAAGCACGATTGGCGGGGATGAAAGACAGGGCCTTCTTGGTGGTGGCCTCCCATCTGAGAAGGGTGGAATATAAATAAACAAACAAATAAATAGTAATGGTGAGGCCCTGGACCATATTTTAGTTTTGGAGGTCCAGTGACCACAGTTCCTGGGGAACACTGGAGGTCCAGTTAGGAACCATTGTATTACCTAGTGGTTCTCAATCGGTGAATCCCCAGGTGTTTTGGCCTACAACTCCCAGAAATCCCAGCCAGTTTACCAGCTTTTAGGATTTCTAGGAGTTGAAGGCCAAAACATCTGAGGAAACACAGGTTAAGAACCACTGCATTAGCTGAAACATTGGAAGCCATTTGTCAATTTGTCTTTTTTCCCTTCAAGGTAGGTAGGTTTTGTTTTGTTTAGTATAATATGCTACTGTAGTTTGCAGTTGTTTTTAGTAGTCTTTAGTTTGTATGCTGTTTTATATGTAAAAATTGTGTGTGTCAAAAAAATTGAAATTTTTTGCACTTTCAAGATTGGTACCTCTTCATATTGGGTTTTTCTTCTTTCTGTGATGAATTTCTGTCACATAAGTTCTTAAATATTTAATGACAGGAATCCTATTGTTGAGTGTCTGCTACAGCAGAAACATTTACACTGTCGAATTATTGAAATTTGATACCACTCTAACTGCCAATGCTATGGAATCAAAGAAGTTGTAGTTTTAACAAGGTCTTGAGCCAAAAAATGCTGGTGTCTCACCAAGCTACATCTTCCATGACTCCATAGCATTGAGATATGGCAGTTAAAGTGGTGTGAAGTTGCATTCATTCTACATTGTATATACACTCATTGAATTATCTCTTCAATAGTGGATCAACAAGAATGCAAAATCCAATGGATTCCGTGTCTCTAACCTAGTTGAGACTAACAATCATATTTAGGCCATTTCCCCAAACATCTATTACCAGTTTCCCAACTGCATATTTTATTGCTGGTCAATATTTCGTTCAAATTGTACACTTGTGTCCAAGTGCACCCAAGAAAGACTCTTACCTGGCCCTTGTAGAAGCCCAAGAAGAAGAACAGCAAAGACAAGGTAAAGGATCTTCATGGTTCTATTGCTTTCAGAAACAAGAGTGCATTTGCAGTGGGCCAGGTCCCTGCATTTATATTGCCGTAAGGATTGCGTCATACCAATCCTTACGTTACGGGATGTATTTGAATTTTTTATTGATTTACCTTCACCTGTTTTATCATTAAGTAATCAAATATTGCAACAGGTTGCATACAGAGGAAGGGCTGCCATATGTCAAGGGCAATTGGATGGGGATGTTCCAGAGCTCTACTGTATACGACATGTCTTGCATGCTCAATCCGCTGGATCCAATCCCTGTCATTTCCATACAGGACTGGAAAAGACCCTTGCTAAACCCATTGAGTAAGATCAATGTAGAGGCTCCCATACTTTCGGGCCAAGGGACATACCTTTGGGTGCATGGCATGGTTTTCCTGCATGCTAAAGGTTTGGATGCCAAGATGGTAAACTAGTAGGTAAACTACATGGCAAACTACTATGCTCAGCCCTGAGCAATTATAGGAAGACACAAGAAAGACCTTCAACTGAAATTCAGGAGAGTTGCTTCCAGTCAGAATGAAGTAGAATAATCTGTATTAATAAAAATGTAATGTTTGTTTGTGGGATTAACATAACTCAAAAACCACTGGATGAATTGCCGCCAAATTTGGACACAAGACACCTACTAACGCAAGGAGTGACCATCACTCAAAAAATTGATTTTGCCATTTGGGAGTTGTAGTTGCTGGGATTTATAGTTAACCTACAATCAAAGAGCATTCTGAACTCCACCAGTGATAGGATTGAACCAAACATGGCACACAGGACTCCTATGACCAACAGAAAACACTAGAAGGGTTTGGTGGGCATTGACTTTGAGTTTGGGAGTTGTAGTTCACCTACAAAGAAGACAGAATGGATGTCTAAAGAACTTCTAACTGTGCTAAGACACAAAAGAGACATGCACAAGAAGTGGAAAAAGGGAGAAATCACCAAAGAAGAATTCAAACAAATAGCCAACTCCTGTAGCAAGGCTAAAGCACAAAATGAGCTCAGGCTTGCCAGGGACATTAAAAACAATAAAGAGGGATTCTTTTCTTAAGCCAGTAGAAAAAGGAAGAACAAGGAGGCAATAGGGCCTCTTTGAGGAGAAGATGGGGCAAGCTGACAGGGGATAGGGAAAAAGCAGAACTACTTAATGTCTACATCCACGGAAGTCATGCTCCCCCTCTATTCTGCCTTGGTTAGACCACATTTGGGATACTGTGTCCAATTCTGGGCACCACAACTGAAGAGAGATGTTGACAAGCTGGAATGTGTCCAGAGGAGGGGGACTAAAATGATCAAGGGTTGGAGAACAAGCCCTATGAGGAGATATGATAGCCATGTATAAATATGTGAGAGGAAGTCACAGGGAGGAGGGAGCAAGCTTGTTTTCTGCTTCCCTGGAGACTAGGACGTGGAACAATGGCTTCAAACTACAAGAAAGGAGATTCCATCTGAACATGAGGAAGAACTTCCTGACTGTGAGAGCCATCAGCAGTGGAACTCTCTGCCCCGGAGTGTGGTGGAGGCTCCTTCTTTGGAGGTTTTTAAACAGAGGCTAGATGGCCATCTGTCAGGGGTGCTTTGAATGCAATATTCCTGCTTCTTGGCAGGGGGTTGGACTGGATGGCCCATGAGGTCTCTTCCAACTCTTTGATTCTATGATTCTATGATTCTACATCCAGAGAGCACTGTAGACTCAAATAATGATGGATCTGGACCAAACTTGGCAGGAATATTCCATATGCCCCAATATGAATACAGATGGAGTTTGGGGGAAATAGACCTTGACATTTGGGAGTTGTATTTACTGGGATTTATAGTTCACGTACAATCAAAGACCTTGCTGAACCCCACCAACGACAGAATTGGGGCAAACTTCCCACACAGAACCCCCATACTTAAGGCCATCCAGTCAAACTTCCTTCACCAGGGCAAGAAAATGTAATCAAAGCCCTCTGACAAAGAGCATCCAGCCATAGATAGATATATATGATTCACACACACACAGTATCATAGATTTGAAAGGGACCCCTAAAGAAGGACAATTTGTTGCATGTTCCAGAGTAGGCAAACCAGACAATCTCCACATCAACATATATTAGAAACCAACACTTTCTAATTACTTTATTTTCCAGATCACCAGACTGGGCCACACCAACGCATGCCAGGGGACTGTTAGTAGAATCATAGAGTTGGAAGAGACCTCATGGGCCTTCCAGTCCAATCCCATTCTGCCAAGAAGTTGGAAAATTGCATTCAAAGCACCCATGACAGATGATCATCCAGCTTCTGTTTAAAAGCTTCTGTTTAAAAGCTTCCCCCATCACACTCTGGGGCAGAGAGTTCCACTGCTGAACAGCTCTCACAGTCAGGAGGTTTTTCCTAATGTTCAGATGGAATCTCCTTTCTTGTAGTTTGAAGCCATTGTTCCCGTCCTAGTCTCCAGGGCAGAAGAAAACAAGCTTGCTCCCACCTCCCTATGACTTCCTCTCACATATTTAGACATGACTATCATGTCTCCTCTCAGCTTTCTATTCTTCAGGCTAAACATACCCAGCTCTTTAAGCCGCTCCTCATAAGACTTGTTCTCCAGACCCTTGATTATTTTAGTTGCCCCCCTCTGGACACATTCTAACTTGTCAATATCTCTCTTCAATTGTGGTGCCCAGAATTGGACACAGTATTCCAGATGTGGTCTAACAAGGCAGAATAGAGGGGTAGCATGACTTCCCTGGATCTAGACACTATACTCCTATTGATGCAGGCCAAAATCCCATTGGCTTTTTTGCCGCTGCATCACATTGTTGGCTCATGTTTAACTTGTTGTCCACGAGGACTCCAAGATCTTTTTCACATGTACTGCTCTCGACCCATGCATCCCCATTATTATTATTATTATTATTATTATTATTATTATTATAATTATATTTATACCCTTCTTTATCTCCCCCAAAGGGGACTCAGAATGGCTTAACATCAAAGGATAAGCGCAACCATGTAAAATATATGAACATCGTGATTGGTCATGTTTAGTGGAGACACATCAAAGTCAATGGGAAAGCTAGCCATCTTTTTACTTTTCAGCTGTTGAATGAGAAGGTAAACAGTCGAACAGACAAGAAGCATGGGTATTATTTGCCAGAAGAGCAGAGTCAATGGAGAGCTTGTGATCAGGATAAAAGTATATAGATTGGACCAACATCAAAGAGAACCAGTTTCCCCAAAATATAACAGCTGCATATAGCATCCAAGATCTTATCTTGCACTATTACCGCTCGCCTCCTGTTCAAAGTGTAATTTCATTAACGATAAACTTGTTTCTGTTGTCAGTAATTGCAGATCACAAGCATTCTGTTTATTGCTTAATAGCCCATATCTGGGGCCCTAAAATAATCGTGATATGAGGTGTCCCAATATGCATTTTTAAAATATATCTTTCCTAAACACAGACAAAAACATTTTTAGCAATCTAAAATACATTTCAAGGTTACAACTGATATCTTATTTTCTATCAATATGAAAGTGTATATATGTATGTATGTATGTATCCCCAAAGGATTAATTGATATATGAACCAAACTTGGCAAGCATAGCCTTCAGTATCCAACTTAAAATACCGTATTTTCCTGCTTAACCTTGGAAAATCCTTGCTGAAGTTGAGGGTCATCTAATATGCCAGGTATTAAAAATCACTTCCTGTTTTGGGTCCAAAACAAGATAGAGGCTCCTAAAAGGCGAGGGAGGCAGACAGTTGGAGCAGAGCGCCCAAAGCAGCAGCAGATGCTGTGCTCCTCCAGCATTGCTTGGTTCCTGCTGCTGGGTTTCAGCCTCCCTGAGGGGCTCTTCCACTCCATGCCCACCTTGGCTGTCAGTGTGATGGAGGAGGAGGTAATATACTTGCTGGATGACCGTGTCACCTCCTCCTCCGCCGCACTGACAGCCGAGGTGGGCTGTCAGTCCTGTTCAACATCTTTATTAATGACTTAGATGAAGGGTTAGAAGGCAGGATCATCAAGTTTGCAGACGACACCAAATTGGGAGGGATAGCCAATACTCCAGAGGACAGGAGCAGGATTCAAAACCATCTTCACAGATTAGAGAGATGAATGGCCAAAACTAACAAAATGAAGTTCAACAGTGACAAATGCAAGATACTCCACTTTGGCAGGAAAAACGAAATGCAAAGATACAGAATGGGATGCCTGGCTCGAGAGCAGTACGTGTGAAAAAGATCTTGGAGTCCTCGTGGACAACAAGTTAAACATGAGCCAACAATGTGATGTGGCGGCAAAAAAAAAGCCAACGGGATTTTGGCCTGCATCAATAGGAGCATAGTGTCTAGATCTAGGGAAGTAATGCTACCCCTCTATTCTGTTTTGGTTAGACCACATATGGAATATTGTGTCCAGTTCTGGGCACCACAATTCAAGAGAGATATTGACAAGCTGGAATGTGTCCAGAGGAGAGCGACTAAAATGATAAAAGGTCTGGAGAACAAGCACTATGAGGAGCGGCTTAAGGAGCTGGGCATGTTTAGCCTGAAGAAGAGAAGGCTGAGAGGGGATATGATAGCCATGTATAAATATGTGAGAGGAAGCCACAGGGAGGAGGGAGCAAGCTTGTTTTCTGCTTACTTGGAGACTAGGACGCGGAACAATGGCTTCAAACTACAAGAGAGGAGATTCCATCTGAACATGAGGAAGAACTTCCTGACTGTGAGAGCCGTTCAGCAGTGGAACTCTCTGCCCCGGAGTGTGGTGGAGGCTCCTTCTTTGGAAGCTTTTAAACAGAGGCTGGATGGCCATCTGTCAGGGGTGATTTGAATGCAATATTCCTGCTTCTTGGCAGGGGGTTGGACTGGATGGCCCATGAGGTCTCTTCCAACTCTTTGATTCTATGATTCTATGATTCTGTGGGCATGGAGTGGAGGAGCCCCTCAGGGTGGCTGAAGCCTGGCAGCAGGAGCCAAGCAGGGACAAGGACTCGTATCTTTTTCACATGTACTGCACTCGAGCCACGCATTCCCCATTCTGTAGACACTAGACTCCTATTGATGCAGGTCCCATTGG